TATTCCCTGATGCCAGGTCTGGATGTGTACCTTCCACTACATTAGGAGGGCATGGATGGGCAGTTAAAGGACATTTCTTGAAGACCAAAAGTTGCCCTTGTCTGGAACAAGCAAGGACTTGTTTCCCCAGTGCTCATTTATGTAATCAGAAATTCTGAAATGTAGAATTCAGAAATGGGGAAGTATGCAGCATTCTCAAGACATCAGAATGTTCTGTGAACACACACAGAGCCTGGCTTAGCTAAAGCAAGTCCAAGTCACTCCTTCCTTTCCAGCATCCTTGAGCCATCAAGGAAAAGTGAATACTTACTGACACTCTTGTCAGGCAAAGCATTCACAAAACCTTTGCTTCACATCATTGAATCAAACAGGAATGTTGTCAGCACTTTGTAGTCCATTCAGCTCTTGAGCCTGTGAGCCTGCACTGCTGCCTTCCTTCTGCTGGGCTGACTGGGTGTCTTGGTGACCCTTGTACTTCCATGTCCCTTGCTGGGTTGTCTCTTGAAGTGGTATCTTTTAGTGACAAGTGGCAGAGATGCCCTCAGGGTTTCTTGAGAGGACTCACTCACACAGTTCAGGAAAAGCCACCAGCTGGGCCCTAGGCAGGGTGAATGAGGCAGCTGTCTGTTCAGTGGGTCCCTCCCAGTTCATATGTTTGTCATATGTCTCCCAGAACTTTGCATCAATCTCTTCACACACCTCCAGCCCTGGGTCTTTCCCCCTACCAGCTCTAGTTCTTTCTGCTCTCAGAACCACAATCCTAGAACCTCCCAGAGAGGAGTCAAGTTGGGTGTGGACCAGAAGCAGTTGTGCACTGGCTGCTTGGAATAGCGGTCAGGGACAGCCTTGTTTGTACATGCAGCAGTGGGCTCAAGGCCAGGTACACAGCACATACAAAGAGCATTCAGACACAATGGACTTGGACCTGTATCATCCAATGTTCACTTTTCTGGTCTAGCAGAAAGCAAGTTATGGGTCCTCATAACCCTTCATCACCTGGCTTACACCACCCTTGTATTTATCAGATGTGCCCAGAAACACCCAGTTAACTGCAAATTCTGCCAGAAAGTGTATTCTTCCCTTATTTATTTTGTGGTACTGGGGCTTGAACTCAGGGCCTACACCTTGAGCAACTCCATCATCCCTTTTTTGTGAAGGTTTTTTTTTTCTTTTTTTTTTTGAGATAGGGTCTCACAGAACTATTTGCCTAGGGTAGCTTTGAACTGCGATCCTCCTGAGTAACTAGGATTACAGGCGTGAGCCACCGGTGCCCAAAAGTATTCTTCCTTCTTTACAGGAAAATGACAACTAATGTAAAACTCATGGCACAAATAGAAAATCATCATTTCATCATTAACAAAGATGCAGGCAAGAATTATTAGTTACTAGATTTGGATAAAGGGTAATACACGTGTTCATGTATTGAACCAAGTTTTAGTTACTAATTACATAAAGAAAGGATACCTTATAATGAAGAAATCTGGCCTTCTCCTTTTTTAGAATGGATATCAAGTTTCTCAACACAGTAAAAGAGCAAAAGGGTACCATGTGGTTGTTGCTGTGCTAAGGAGACACATCCTCACGTAGGTGGGTTGCATGTCCATGGTGTGACGTACAAGAGCACCATGTATGTGGGTCATGTGTTCCTGGTGTGATGCATGAGGACATGGCACCATGCATGTGGACTGCATCTCACTGGTGTGATGCACGAGGACCTGGCACCATGTGGGTTGTGTGTCCCTAGAGTGATGCACGAGGACACGGCACCATGTAAGTATATTTCCATAAGTGTTCAATCTGAGAGAACCACTTGGTAGACATTTGCAAAACTGACAACTAAAAAATGTCCACATGAAAAGAAAAAAAGCATTTAAAAAGTAGTAACAAGTCACCATATTTAGATGGAAAGTGAAGAAAAGTAGATATAAAGGATATTTCTGTATCTACCAGGGAGCTTTTACGAGGACCATGCATTGAGTGTTACATTTCCTCACTGACAACTGTGGGGAATCCAGTCTCCTAGACAAACAGTGACCATAATTTCCAATGGCTTGGTCAAAATTCCAGAGATATACAAATACAGAGTAGAAGTGGTGTGACGCTGAATTTATTTCTAAAGTCAATTCCAACTTCACTTACGGAAAAGCAATGAATTTCAGCCCCTACCTGTTGTAACCTAAATGAAAGTAGTGAGGCATCTGATGAAAGTGCCTGTCACAATCAATTTGGCCAACAGAGGGACAAACACCCAATGTAGGTGAGGAGGCACACTGGCAGGAATAGTGTGTCTACTTCGGACAGCAGTCCTCTGAGGGTCACACCAACTGAGCATGGATGCACACAGCAGTGCCGTTCCTGTTGTGAACTGTTAATGGCTGTTACCTGCAGTAGCAGCAGCAAAAGCCTTAATTCTGGCCCAGCACCAAAGAAACCCTGAACCCTTTTAGAAGGTTTGTTCTGGCCTGAGGCATGCTGGACAGCACCACGGGGTGAGCTCCTGTTAGGCATCCTCACAAGGAGAGCTTTTCCACCTCAGACCCACACCAGGACAAGCACTTAGAGTTAGCTGTGTCATTTCCAATAGGCAATGAAAATCCAGAGTCCTCATTCAAAGTTTCTTCCTTTCTTCTGTGGTCTCCCCAAATTCACGTTGGGACTCTAATTGAACTTCCATGGCCTCTACTAAGTGGAGCTGAGAGGGTGTAACTTTCTGATACATCTGAGGATGCAATCCAAGTTTAGAAAGACAAGAGATACTGGGTTGCTTTTGGTTCTCTTTCAGTGACAAGGGGAGCCCTGGTGTCCTTGATGGGTCTGTAGTGGCAGTTCCCCTTAGGAGGGGTGGCAGTGGGGAGTGACACCATTTAGGTCAGCTTCTCGATTTCATTTGAATGATGGCAATGTCAGTGCCCAACACTAATGGAAAAACAGAAAAGTGCATGTGGTTCTTCCAGTGGAAAGCAGAGTGGCTGAGCCGACAGAGCCTCGGCAATAGCTACTTGGTCACAGTCTCTGAGGACTTGCAACACATGTACTCTTGGTCTGTACAAGGAAACAGACTCTCTAGGCCTGGTGGATAGACTTCAACACCAGGCAACAGAGGACCAGACCCTCCCCATTTCCCAGAACCTCCTGCATAAAGGGAGCCATCTGCTCTTGATCCTTCCTTTAAGGTGCTGTGCTTATCTGCCAGGATTACTGGGAATGAGGGAAGATACCCAACCTTTAAAGTCCTGGAGACTGAGCAACAGCTACTGCAGGTCTGGCCCATGTCAGCCTCACAGCTGGCCCTGTACAGCGCACACAGAAATTGGTAGTACCCCATCTTGGCTTCCTGACCCATGAAGTCAGGTCTAAAGTAACACCAGTGTGATGTGGTATAGACCTAAAATGTCACCAAAGGATCATGTGTTGAAAGCTTGGTCCCCAGTGCAGCATTATTCGGAGGTATTGGGTCATGAGGGATCCAACTTAAATGGATTAATGCACTGATGCACTCAAAGCACGGAATGCTGGAAACTAGGAGGTGATGCCTAGTTGGAGGATGTAGGTCACTGTAGTGCCCTTGAAGGATGTTATCTTTCCCTGGTCCCATGCTCAATCTTTGCTTCCCAACTGCAATGAGGTGAGTAGCTTTGCTCCACTGTTATGTTCAGTATCACTTTGGGCACGAGGAACAATGAAGCCACGTGACCAATAACTGAAACCTCGAGTCAAAATAAATCTTTCCTCTTTTGTTGACTTTCTCCAGTATTTTGTCACCTGATGGAGAGCTGACTAACACATGGTAGAAAGGCTTTTTTCCCCTAAAATGGCAAATCCAAATGCAACACAGCCCCACTGGAAGAACCTGAGTCCTTAGGCACATGATCTATGCCATCTGACCCGTGCAGAAAACAGAAGGGTCCTGTGACCATGGCCTGTCACACTTAATCAGGTAATGTCTCTACTGTGATAAGTCAACACAGACCGTGTCTCTGGTCTACAGCAGACCTGCCAGAAGCAGTCTTTGGGGATGACAATCAGCTCCATGGTCTCGCAGTTGTACTTGGGTGCCTCTCTGTTCTTTAGGACAACCTAGATATTCGGGACCACTAGCTGTTCTGTCATCCACAGGATAGCAGGATGGTCTGTTGGTGATGCAGTACCCACAGCCAACAGGACATCCCGTATGTCCTGATGAAGTACATGAACCCTGTAATAGTGCAGAGGGTGCTGCATTGTAGGGTCCAGAGACTTGGGATGTTTGTTAAAGAATAAGACAGTTTGTCTCATCTCACATTCACTGCCACCAAGATAGAGGTGAGAGAACAGCCTCTGTGCGCTAAGGAAGCAGTGCGCCAGCTCTAATCCCTGCAGTGACAAGAGGCAGGGTGGTGTCAACGTTGCTCTCTCTTGGACCATAGTCCCAACAGGACCCAGGGACACACAGGTCTGTGGCCAACTGGATGCTGCAGGGAGCCCTAAGATTCTGGGGCAAAATCCTGCCCTCTTCTGCAGATAATCATTCTCCTTTTGAGAATCAGCTGTTGTCTGGCTTTGTAGGAAAACATCAAGAGCTGCGCTTTGCCATGAACTGCTAACTACCATGGAACTTAAGCTGACCTCTACAACCGTGTGTCTGACCCATCCTGTCGGCAGGCCAGGCAAGTGCTGAAGCACTGACAAGGAGCACACATATCCTGAAGGCATGCACAGCACAAACAGGTGGCTCAGGCCCTATTTAGTCGACAACACCCCATCACACACCTATGGCCTTAGGGTGTTTCCTATGATCAACTGTCTGAAGAAGTTAGATCTGACTTCTGCAAACTATGGTGACACCACTTAAGGTGAAGTTGGCAGCAGTTCAGCCACTTAAGGTGGCCTTAAATAGCCATGGAACCCTACCTTTGTAAACACACACATCAGTTGTTCACTCTGCCTGAAAGTAGTGAGAACCAAAGTACAGATCTATACAAGTAGTCGGTAGGTAACAGTTTGGTGAAATATCAGTCTTGGGAGGAACAAGACTGCAAATTGATGAAAAATGACATGGACTGAGGAGAGGTAAGTATATTTGAGGTGACCACAGTTGGCACTCACTGAAGAGCATGCCCTCAATCAGGTGATGCCAAGGCCTTACTCTCACCATCCATGTCCTTGCTCTTTAGTCTCTCAGACAATGGTGGAAACAGGGAATGTCACAAATGATTTCAGCCCCAGGCACTCCCCTACTCTGAGGCTGGCCAAGAGCTAACTCCCTGCTGAATGTCCAATCTGCTAAAAGACCAACACAGTTAATTCCTAAAATGGAACAGGTAGCCACTGACCACACTGGCCTCAAACTCTGGAAGGGTAATGAGTTCTCAGGGTTCACAAGAGGACTCACACACTGCACAGCTGCTCACAGTGTGGCTTCCTAAGGGCCCATTCCTTCAGCAAGGTTGGTGGACTGTATTGAGCGTAATGTCAGGCCATTGATTCAGAGTCAGCTGGAGAATATGGATGAGAGCCTCCGAGAGCCTGGCTACAGAAGGATTTCCCCCATGGGCTGCTGTGCTGCCCACATGTACTCTGCATTATCAGCCAACATGGCCAGAAGCCCAGGTTGAAGAAGTGGGAACAGTTCCCCCTGCACCCTAAGGAGCCACTAGCAGTCTTGGGTGACCTCCTTCCTGAAGAAGAGATCCTTCACAAAGGCACAAGCGTATGCCAGTGTTCCAGAGGCTGATGGTTGTGCTAGATGCTTCACGCCAAAGAACCAGGGACCAAGGAGGATGTGTTGAACAGCCCAACTACCTTGAGGACAGGGTACCACATAATGGAGGACAGGGAAGAGTATGTCTGGAATCGAGGGGATTCTATAGGGAAACTCTTCTCATTGCTGTATCCAGTGATAAACTAATGGACACCAACAGTTACTAGAACAAGGACTTCACATGGAATAATTCTGGGAATGGTATGAGTTGCCCTTCCAGGAGAAGGGACACACCTAGGAGATGAGTACTGGGGGTGGTACCAGCAGAGAATTTTGCAAGGAAGTGAGTACTGGGGGCAAAAGTCAACCTGCCAGGGAAGAATGAGCAGCAGGAGGTGAGCACTGGAGGGCAAAGAATTACACCCAGGACACGAGTACTGGGAGCAAAGGTCAACGTAGCAGGGAATTCTACACCCCAGAAGTGAGTGGCTGGAATAAAGGAACATGGAACAGCCTTAAGAAAAGTTTTAAATACCAACTTCTGACAAATAACCAGGTGCAAAACAACACACAGTAGCTCTGTATATCCTTTCCACAGTCTGATAATACATACTTGCATCTGTATCTTTTCCTTAAGAGCACTATCTTCAACTGTGTGACAGAAAGCTGAGAAGCGCAGTGCTTGACTTCTTCTTCAAGAAGTCAATTTGCAAGGGTGGTGGGCTTGAGCTCACAAAGTGACAGGCAGAATGTGCCAGGAGCTGTTGCCACATGGCACACCCAGGATTTCCTCTACAGTCCAGATACATGTAGCAGAATGTACATCCCTGAGTGGCTGCAGGCCACGCCCAGCCAAGGTGTGGAAGGTAGAAAAGCCATGGTTCACTGAGGCTGGTGTGGTTAAATGCATGCACAGATGTAGACAGCAAGTTATCACATCCCCCAGGGTTTCTTGAGAGTTCCCAGCTTGGCTATGCTGACTAAGGCAGATGACTGTCTTTCTGGGTATGGACAGAGTAGCTTTGGAGGACCATCTGGATCAGACAGTAGAACTCCCCAGATACCCAGAGGTCTGAGCCACTTTGAACCCCTAGGAGGTGGCAACTGTGGTTCAAGCTCAGCCAGGAATGCTGATCTCCTCTTCTCCAACTCTCTAGGGACTGTACTAAGCCCTGCACACCTGGAAATGCTTCCCCGGACAAATGCTGATGAGGAGGCCTGCTGCCCAGCACCCAGCTGCACCACCTGCCCCATACCCAGGATCTGCTCCTCAGTACTCGTCCATGAGCTGCGGACATAATGACCTTGTCCTACTTCAGTAAGCCCAAGCTTAACTTCCCTGTCCTAGCAGCTTGTCTACCTGGACTCTGGCCACAATGATCACTGACAAGAGCATGTGTGTGGCTGGTAAGAACAAAGCCACATGCTTCTCAACTTCTTCTAAGGACATGGAACCAAAATCTGCTGCATCTGTTGGTTGCCATGGAGAGGCCAGCCTGAGGGTCACACCAACAGGCTAATCAAAAAGTTGCAAAGAAGCACCACTTGAGCACTAATCAAACAATCCCTGAAATCCACCCTACCTCTAAATGCTCTGTTCCAATCTATTTAACCTTAAGTTTTCTGTTACAACCCAAATCATCCTAATTTATAACTGTTTTCATAAGACTACTTTACTTGTCGATTTCTTGGCTAAATGAATTAACATTTGCTTCTTCTCAGTAAAAGTCCAAATTTTCAACAAAGCTGTATGTGTAAGATCGACAGTTTCATTCCATTTGTTCTTCTCTTGGCTGGTGTAGGACACTAGATTCTCGGTATACTGCAAGATTGACTTTAAGAATCTGTTAAGAGAGAGAGAGATTATTTTCTTTGTCCATTCTGTTATAAAATGCCAAAACAATTTAGATGTTGTCTCTACACTTTGAAATTATTCCTAGAGTTAAACATTACTTCATTTGTCAGTGAACTCAAGAAGAAAGTTAGGTGGAGATTGCTTGGCACCCCAAAGTAGACACTACGTCCCATCAGGGAAGGCTCCAGCCCAATGCCAATGGTGCCAAAACTGAGAACCCCAATTCAGACTCCCCAAACCTGATGTTATGCACATTGCTACCTACACTCTCACCAGATGCTATACTTCCATGTATAAAATACCAGTCATGTATTTATGTCCACTTCAAATGTGCACAGGTATGCCTGCCACCTGCAAAGCACTGCTAAAAGCCAAGTAAGACACCAAGAACTTGTGGGCATGGAGGGAGGCTGCAGCTGCAGCAATTACATCCCAGCACAAGCTACTCCTTGTGCAGAGCCTGTCCAAGGGGCCTCCCTCCATTCTGGAATCTCTAGACATGAAATGGGTCACACAAGGGTTCATCTGACTTTCAATCCCCAGGTCTGCATGGTCCTGAAAAGTGGACATCCCAAATTCTAAACTATTAGTTATATTCAACAAACCTGGTTGCTGTGAGCCATTTGGATGTGGCAGGGTCTGCCTTGTGGCCCAGACATTAGGCCCTCTGCCTTTGAGAGTCATAGAAGGTACCTGGCTCCTGCTCCAATGTCATTCCTATAGTCTCCACCCACTCAGACCCAGAGACCTGCTGTGGTTGCACAGACTAGAGTTCTGAAAGAACTCACAGGTAGACATTTTACAATTCACTGTTGTAAAATGGGCCTGCACAGTGTCAGCCTCAAATGTTTCCAACTCATTAGCACCATAATCCAGAGCCCAACAGCTGAGGTTCATCAGAATTCATGGGAGATAAAGCAATAACCCAGGAGACAACCAGTAGGAGTGAAAACATTACATTACCCAAACTAAGTTTCATCTCTTTTAAGCAGGGCATACTTACTTTAGATACTGCTGATACTCATAAGCCTTCTTTCCACAGACAGCATGAATGTGGACCAACTCCAGTACAGTGAGCAACAAAATCAAGTGAAGTGCAGGAAAAAGAAGCCTAATACTGACAAGAATACAAGTAGATAAGTATATTTCACTTGACCACCACCTTTTTCAAGGGTTCTTAAATTCAAATATCTGGGAAGATGGCATTCCAGTCACCACGAGCCTGACCCCACACCTGCCCTGTGGCTCCTTGCAGTCAAGCCAGCCAAGTCCAGCCCTTCTTCCTCATGCTCAGAGCACCAGGTATGTCCACTGCCTGGCAGCAGCACCTTGTCTGAGCCTGGCCCAGCGGCAGCTGCTCTCCAAACATCACTGTGACTTAGACCAGCACAGCCTGGTCAGTCCCAGCACCTTCTACTCAGGCCTTGTGCAGAAGATGCTTAGTAAGGGTAGGAGGTTAGAGCACACCTTTCTAAACAGTAAGAATGTAAACTGAACACTTTCTGGAAGGTGACCCACTAGCAGTCCTACCACACGCTTTGGAACACCCATATTATTCAACTCAAAATTCTAGAAATTTGTACAAAATGGTCATTTAAAGGTATAGCACATCATAAAATACAAAGGAACAGCAGTGCTGACAAATTCAAGAAACTGTGCTGCTAGGTTTAAAATCCAGATGTTCTTTGGGGAGGTAGGACCCACACTCCACATGTCACATTTTTTAAAAAGCAGCACTACAACTTTATTCTATGAAGTAAGGGTGAACACCTGTATGAGACAGCCCCACCCAGGGCCCTCCCACTGCAGAGTGAGCATACCTGTGGAGCATGCGCAGGTAGTTCTGCCGCTGCCGGGAGCGCAGCTTCCGCCCCGCCCACTGCCTGTGCCTCAGCTGTGAGGAAGCCACCACCTGGCTGGACACGCGCTGGCACTGGGAACTGATGCTTCGGAGCACAACCAGCACTTCCAGGACAACTCTGGGGCAGAACAGGGTGGGCACATGTGTGCTGCAAAGTCCACTGAGCAGGTGGTGCCACCTGCAAGTGACAAGGGCTGTCAGGGAACACATCCACCAGAGATCCTGGCCCTGGCTCTATGCCTGCACACTTTGGGTGATGGCAGTAGAGTATGGGAATGTCTGCCAGTACGACTGGGGCATGACACAAGAGGTAAGTAAGGTACAGTTGTCAGAGTATTTCTACCTTCAATGGACACACCTATGTCTACACAGAGATTATCAAACTCTATCTAATAATCCCTCTTGAGGCACCAACCCTGGGATTCCAGCTCGACTACCATGTTTAAAGAAGTTAACACTAAGATTGTTCCCCTTGCTTGATAATGTGTCAAAAGTTCTCAGGGCATCCTGGCACTCACTGCTCTGTGGGAAGATCATCCAAGTCTTTAACAACACTGTGATTCTCAGGCATATGGTGAAAGAGCGCACACAAAATCCTTGTAATTAGAGAGTTGCAGGCATGTGTTTTAGCATTGTCTTCCAATCTGAAAAACAGACAATATTCAAAAATATACTGACGATAACGAGAACCCCTGCATCAGTGCCTGTGCGAAATGATGCTTTTTTTAATGTTCAATCAACAATGCTTACCTGTTGAAACCAGTTTCTCCAATATAAAGAAAAAGCAGACACTCACCCCCCAGAGTGGTAAAAACGACTGACACGGTATGCTGAAAGCGCACTGTGTACAGCTAAGGTGATCTATGGCTTGCCAAAGATTTTCCCACCAAGTGAGAATGCTGCTGCATTCTGACTCCAGAAATTCTATCTTCACCCTCTTCCTCCTGAGCCCACACCCCTCTTTCTAATTGTGTGCTAAGCAGTTCTCAGCAGGTGCCAGTGACCTCCCCACAGACCCCTCCAGCCTGTGCTCCGTCTGGGAGATGGCCCTCGGCAAAGCCTGTGCTCAGCTCAGCACACCTGCAGCAGCCACCGTGGACAGCAGTTCCCCTCCATCCGTCTTCCAATAGCCCCAGGAGAGAAAGAACTCTTGTGCTGACTGTAACACAGCCCATGGTCACACACCTGCCTGGTTCCTGACCAGGATCTGCTGGCAAAGGCAGTAGAGGCCAAATCCTGATGCTTTCCTCACAGCTCAGCACCTGGAATTCACAATGACATCTGAGAAAGTACGTTTTCAACTGCTACACACATTAAATCCCTTCGAGAAGCTACTACTTACAAAACTTGTCACAAATTCTACAATATTTGAAAAGAATTCGGCATGCTCAGGTGGGGACAGGTGGTCAGCCTACTGGAGGACTGGTAGCTATTTAACAGGTGGGTGCTCTGAACACCAGAGTGACACTCTTGAGAGATGGGACCCATGTCCCCTAGCTTTAGTAGCTGGTTAGGACCAAGCGCACACAGTAGATGTGAAAGTGCTGTGAACCCCTGGTTCAGGACAATGAGCTCTGTGTGAAGCCAGCATCATCTGTGACTCAGGGGCCTGTGAGGCCTCTGGTCAGTTTCTAGTCTTCTTGAAAGGGACACCTGCCCAGCAGAGCTCTGAGGCCCCACAGCCCATCAATTCCTGGCTGAAGCCCTCAGCAGAGTCCTCTCTAGCCCACAGTAATGTGAACAAATCAAACTGCAGTGACAGATGCCACCAAAAGTGGGTGATCTTAGACAGCAGCAATAGCCAGGGCAGTTAAGTCTATAAAGCCTGGATGCAGGACTGCCACAAATGGAAGACGTATAACTAGCAGAGGGCAGGAACAGGAAATGGGGAGGTTTCAAAACAGCCATGGGGTTGGGGGGATTTGCCTGGGGCCAAGGAAATACAGCAAGAAGCGCAAGGAGGCCTGAGTGTCAGGAGACGAAGCAGCTGGGTTGCAGGGCTTTTCAGAAGCTTCCCTTCCTTCTGGAACCTTCTCTCCCACCACCTATCTCTCTAAACACTGGTCCCTTTAGGCAAGTTCAGAAACTTCTACCTTCGCAATGACACCTTGGAAGGAGCAGAATCATGAGAAGGTCATGTGATGTGAATGGTGAATGGTATCGGAATGACTCAGCTGATCTGCCTGTCCCCAAACCAGAACCCACTGACCACAGGATGAGGACTGAGCCTTCCTTTCAAAGCACCAGACATTGTTTCTCTCTACTTCCTCTACTGGAAAGCTCCTTCTCACTGCCACAGACATTGTCAATTGAGCTTCAGTCTTCTCTCCAAGCTACCTCTGAAAATCTCTGCCTGTGCTGCCATGTGCCAGGCACTCTTGTGGTTAGTGTCCACTCAAGCAGCCATCCTGAGTCTGATATGCCTAGTGACTGTCCTCTTTCTGTCCCCCATACTACCCTCACATCCTACCATATGTAGAGTGAAGCACCTTAGCCAATTCTCAAATTAGAACTTCCTGGTAGAAGCACTTAAAAGTCTATTGTTTGTTTGAGTTTGTATGTTAACAAAAGCTAGTCTTATATAGAAAAGAAAAAATGGCATTCCTCACCTGATAAAGCACTGGATTGAAAAGATAACAGCAGCCTGCTAAGGCTCCATGCTAAACACAACATTCTTCCACTAATGCTAAAGCATCCAATGAAGCAAATACTATCTTTACTTTCAACTATTAGTTATGGGACCTGAGCCCAGTTCAGAAAACTGAGCCACTCAGTCAAGGTCATACAGCAAGTGGCATGTTGTGGTCACAAGTCTGACTGGACAAGGCACTTGGACCCTGTAACACCTCTGTAAAAGAAGCCATTTCAAACACACAGACCCCTCTCCCACGTGCCCTGAACTTGGCATACCTGTTTCTTAAGCTGAAAAACTGGATGGCAGCGGGAACTGTAGCCTTCTGCAAGACTGATCAACAATTTTATTGCCGCTTCCTCCTGGTTTAAAGAAAACAGAACTTTACTGTTCTTTTATTGAAATGTAGGCAACCTATAGCCTTAACTTCTCGTATCTTCCTTCAAATAATTCTGTGCAGCTAAAATAAAGTAAAACTCTTCATTAAAATAAGCTGGGCACAGTACTCAAACCATACTCAACAAAATGATTTTAAATAGAGTCGATTAACAACCATAACTTGCAAAGGCCACATTTACCCTCACCTACAATACAACAGAACTACAATTGCATAAGGAGAAAAAGATTCCAAACAATTAGAAACAATTTTTTAAAAAGTGCTAAAAAAATCAATAAAACTACAAGAGAATTTACCTGGCTAAAAACATTTAATCACTAAACATAAAAGTATTTTAAAAAATAAGAGTAAAAAAATTATTGAAATTGAAAACTATTAGAGGCAGAAAGAAAAGCCAAGGAGCCGACTGTTACAAGTACAATGAGCAGTAACTCCAGATTTCTCAACAGTATAGAACAAGCAACTCACATGGCTACAAGTTCAGAGCTCAGGCCATGTACTGACCTTTCATCCACTCTCACACCTGAGAGCCCGAGTCACACTAACCCTCACACGTAAGGTCCCAGCAGGGCAGGCAGAGAACTGTGTGCAGGTTAGTAATGAGTCCCAGGGGGACAGTGTGAACCTACAGGCTTCTGTTCTAAGATGTAAACTGTGAAATCACAGGAGGGACTCTAACTATGGGGGCAAAATGTCTGAAAAAGGATCTGGCTGTAGTGTTCAGATGAGAATGAAGAGGTCATTGGAAGAAAGAGGTCTGTTACAACCAGCATCACTTGAGGGAAGGTTATGGGAGCTTTGGCCAGGTGGTGGCATGGGAGTGAAGGGACTAACAGACTTGGGACTCATTTTTAAGATAAAGAATTGAGTATAGAATATGAAAGCAGAGAAGAGAGGACTAAGAGGATGTGGGCCTGTGTAGCCACTTGCAAGATATGCAACTTAGAGAGGGCTAGGTTGTGATCCCACAGCAGGCATAAAGATGGGAGATGCCATATCACTAAGGAGTTTTAAATACTGCAAAACATGTCAGTTTCCCTAAGCTAGTTCATGAAAAACGCTTCCTTTTTGGTTTGTTTTCTGTGTTTATTTTAACTATGCAAGTTCACACAGAATAATAACATAGAAAACAGGCAGGGAAATCCTGAGAAAAGAAGAGTCCTAAGAAACATTATCAACAAGCTTAAATAAAGACTAGAGATTTTAGTAAACAAAGTCGAGGGCGGGGCCTGGTACACACTGACTAAGATGCTGACCCTTGACATGGCTTTCAGACAACTTGCTATCCATTTGTAGAGGAAAACGAAGTAAAGCTAAATTCTCTACCTCACTCCCAAGATGGACTAAATTTCTCTTAGATCAAAGATGTAAATGAGAAGATTTTTTTTAAAGGAAATGGTAAACTGCAAATATATTTATAATTCTGGAAAGCAAAGAGGCTTTTAAAAATTACTCCAAATGCAGAAGCCAAATGGAAAAAAAGAACTAAAAGTTAAAGACAAATATGCAATGAAAATGGCAAATGAGGCTAATAAAATAAAACTGAACAAAACAAAGTCAACAAAAGAATCACAAATATCCAATAAATGCAAGAAAAGATGAAAATGTTATGAATAAATAAAAAAGAAAAAAAGGTCTTACTGGTATTTTTAGCCTTAGAAATTTATTTTTACAAATTTACTAATTCAAGTGCCCAAATGAACAAAGATGTTCATTTCAGCATCAAAATTAGGAATTTTCCTCATTAGGCAAAGTTATAATACAACCATCACTGAAGAACTGTGAAACAACAGCTGACAAAAAGAGCAAGCACAACAAAGACCCCTCCAAAGATATACCTAATGAAAACTAGTTACAAAATATAACATCTCTTCCTATGAACCCACTTTGGTATGCTCATAGAAAAATGCAGAAGCAAAGACACCTAACTTTTAATAGTAGTCATTCCTGGAAGATGGGACAACTGATGATTTTACATTTTATATCAATTTTTCTGTATTGCTTGAACTTTTAAACAATAACTGTCACACATATAATCTGAAAATAAAAATATCAGTAGCAAACATTGTATTTATTTTAAAATAACCAAAGAATTACAGTTTATAGATGATGTAAATATGTCATTCACTAATGTAAGACATCTGTAAAGATTTCACAATTATTCTGATATGGCAATACTGTAACTAAGATTAAAACAAAAGATAAACAGTTAATTACATTGGAAAGTTAAGACATATTCTTTCATTGCTGAGTGACAGAGTCTAAGTAGCTATCTCCTCTGTCTATATTACCTTAAACATTGACAGCACATCTTCCCCAGCAAATTGGAGTGAAAGTACAAGGGAAAAGGCAAGCAGCTGAATGGTTGCTTCTTTTGGAAATTCACCTAAGTTGATCTCTCCATGGCTTAAGCGATCGCGCAGACGGGGGCCCTCCTGATAGTTCAGGAAATCCCAGAGAAAATCCTTTCAGAAGGACAGAAATGTTTTGTTAGCACTACAGACAGATGGAAGAATATGTACAAGGTCCTAGTGGTGGTGGTGGGGGGGACGGCAGTGTGCCTGGCACATTTGAGGAACCAATGGGAAATGTGAGCCTCACAGTCTGTGTTCATCACAGCACTGCAGCTGGGGTTCTGACAGGCAACCTTGCTCCCTGTGCACCAGATAGGATGGACATGAGAGCCAAAAGGTCCTAAGGACCAACCACTAAGTGCAGACCTGCCTGGAAGGTGCTAGTACCTAATGACATAACTTGGTTATTCTCACCTTCCTCCAGGGAGGAAACTGGGCTGCCAACATTTGGAAATAAACTTTGCAGGCAAATCAAGATGTCACTGTCCAGACAACTGACCTGGGAAGACTGCAAAAGAATGGACAGCCCCAGAGATTCAAGATGGAAAAGAATATGGGGCAACCTAGTTCAGCTGTCTCATTTTCTGCTGGCAGGAAGGGATGCCCAGAGCCCATAAGGCATCTAGCTTAACGTCACAGGAATGGGAACTAGAATCCAAGTCTGCTCTCAGTCAGAAGGAATAGATATGAAATATGCAGAGCAATCATTGCAGTATCTTCATAAAATAAAGTTCTGAAAGACAATTCTCTTTTCATCCAACACTCTTAGACCCATTTGACTCCTGCTATTCTTCACAAAGCAAATAATATAGTCCCTTTTATATCACATAGAACCAAAAAACACAAATGTTTAGCAACAGGGCAGCTAAGTTGTCAGGCTTTAAAAGGGCATGCAGTAATCAGACAGAGCTCAGTGCCCACCTGGGGGCCCAGGCTAGGCTGGCATCTGGGAGGGAGCTCAGCTGTGGGTGACTCTGCTCTTGAGCCACCTCAACCCATGTTCATTCCATTCTGAGCAGTGACAGCAGATTCATAAACACAAGAATACAAGGCTGAAAATACCTAATACTTTACCATAGCAGGCTCTCCAAGGAGAAGGGGAAGTTGGTTGATTGTACCATCATTCAAGTGTTTTGCCAAGATCTAAAACACCAAAAAAGTACACTGTTAACTTGACAACCACCACATACACACCACTAAATTTAAAATGTCAGCTCTAAATAATTACACCCAATAATATTAGTATCTCTTGGCATTTTCCAGCTTTGAATTTTGTGTAACTTTAGAAATTAGATTAGTAAGAATGAGTCTCAAAATTAACCTCAAAGCTATATTAAATCTACTATAAACTTTCCTTTTTGCTAGTTTACTATCAATATTTTCCTGTATGTATATGATTTATGGAAAATCTGTTTCACTCTGCATTTTAAAAGATGACATTTTATTTCAAGTTGAGTAAGTTTAACAACTTACTTCATCAAAGGTGGTGTAAAGTGTTGTTGACTGCAGAAAAGAGAAGAAACGAAAAGAATTAAATAAAGCAAAGTACAACAGCATAACCTACTCAAAGTAGGAAAAAAAATTATGGTCAGAGACACAAATCTGAAACGCTCTTGTGAAAAGGAACCTTTATTTGGAGACATTGTGAGGCAAAATAAGTGTACTACATGGGAACTGAGTATGTCTGATGACTGAGGCATGTGAGAATGCTGACTGTGCAAGTATTTCAGCTATTTCTAAAATTTAGGGTCCCACACCTTAACAAATCACTATCCATACAAATAAAACCTGATAACTGGTTATTATTTTTGCACAAGTGGTTATAATGCAGTGTTTTCTCCAAAAGTCGTCTTTGATATCTGCATCTTCATGTGATCAGCACAGCATTTAGACACAGCCTCCAGGATGAGATGCCTCAGCTCTGATCCCAACCTCATCACCTCTGACAAGTGAGACTCTGGGTGACCTATTTAATCCCATAGCCTTGGGTTTTCTCTGCAAACAGAATGTGAATAATGCCTGCCTCATAAAGCTTGTGGGATAATTCAGCCAGACTTCATGCAATGTTACAATATCAGCATTTTATGTGAGCATCCCATTACTTTCTCCAGAAAGATTTTTCATTTTTCTCCATAAACCACATGTATTAATTTCTACCTAGTTTTTATTGAATTGATATAAAAGTCTTTCCTCTCTCCCCATCAGATAAACCCTTAAAAATCAGAAAATGGGGAAAGTTGGATATCCACAAACCCCCATCACTCAAAATGGGTAAACATTTAGATGTAATGAGACCTGGAACTCTGACACTACTATAAGAAAACACAGGGAAATGCTTCAGACACTGCAAAGGGCAAGAATGTTTTGGACAACACTCCATCAAAAACACAAGAAACAAAAGAAAACACAGACAAAAGGAATCACATCATTTTCTGCACAGCAAAAGAAACAATCATTAGAGTGCAGAGACGATCAACAGAATGGGAGAAAATATTTGCAAACTGTACGAGGGCTTAATATGCAGAAGATGTAAGGATCTTAAAAATGCAGAAGATGTAAGGATCTTAAAAACTCAACAACAAAATAGAATGATTAAAAATGGGCATTTCTCAAAAGAAGACAAACAAATGGGAACAGGCACATGAACGTTTGCTCAGTAGAAGAATCATCAGGAAAATGCACATTAAAACCACAGTGAGACGTCATCTTGCTCAGTAATGAGCTATTATCAAAAACACAGCACATGTCGACCAGGATGTGGAGACAGGGAACCCCAGCACGCTGTTGGTAGGAACATCAATGAACACAGTTGTTACAGAAAACAGTATGGAGGTTCCTCAAAAAATTAAAAATAGAACCACCACATGATCTAGCAATCCCATGCCTGAGTATATATCCAAAGGAGATGAAATCAGTATGAAGACACATTTCCACTCCTGTGTTCATTGAACTATTCACCATATCCAAGAAATGGAAACAATGGGAGCTGAAGAAAATGTGGCACTTACATGGTGGAAAACTACTCAGCCATAAAAAATGAAGTCCTGTTGCTTGTGACAACATGAACAGAACTGGAGATCATTACGTTAAGTGAAATAAACCGGACAAAGTACCACACAATCTCACTCCTACTGAATGTAAAAAAAGTTGACCTCACAGATGTCGAGAGTAGAATGGAGAGGATAGTAGGAATGGAGCTGGGGAGAGGGTGATTAAAGAGTTCAAAGGAGTTACACATGAGTGAAAGTTCTGGTGACCACGGACAGTGATGGTACTGAGTATACCCAAGAGTCAGAAGGATTTTTAGATGTGACCATAAACATTTAACCTGATTTCAGCATTACACAATGGATATATCAAAGCATCACATAACACCCCATCAGTGTGAATGGTTTTCTTTTTCCCATCAGTTCAAAAAGAATCAGAAAGTCTTCACCAGTATCCCTCTGAGGTTCATGTCAAGGGCTTGTCCCTGCCATGGTGCCACTGGGAGGCAGTGAAACCCTTACCAGGTGGGGATTATGGAAGTCTTGGGTCAGGATGGGCAAAGTGAATGTGCAGAAGGAAGGCATGGACAGTGTCCCCCTTTGTTGCCAGAGAGACAAAGATGTCAAGGATGACTTTAGGAATGTTTAAGAACTTATGGAGAAAAATATGCCTTTTTAAAGAAAGCAAGCTTGATATGGTGGGGAAACACATATGAAGGTGCTCAGCAAACAGGTGGAACCCTTAATCCAGACCAAAAAACACTGGTGACACTGCCTTGGAAATCCCTGGCATTGGATGCTATAAAACACCTGCAGCTTTAGCTGTATAGAAAAATTTCTGGTATGTTGAATTCTCATTTTTATTGAATCAAAAGTTTTAAATTACTGCTGTTCCCACAAAGGAAAAAGCATGGCACAGACTTCTGTGAGTGCTCAAGGTGAAAATCTGGGTTGAGGCATTTACAGAACGCTTACATGAAGAAGTTGAACTCGGAGGAGAAATGAGAACCCACGGTTCAGCAGGTGCTGCTGTCCCTCCCACAACGTGCACCAGCTGACTCTCCCCAGCAAGCTGAGCACATGGCCATGCAGAAACATTCCATGTGGCCCTGGCAGCTCAGGCTAGCTGAGCTTTGGATAGGAAGGAATAGTGTGCAACTCCAGAAGTATCCTTAAACAGGGGGCATGCTGTCCTTTTCTACCAGTTGGAAGGTAGAAGTGACAGCTGATGCCGCAAGCTTGAGTCATGAGAAGTCACCTATGGAAGCAGGCACAGCCTCTTCAGGTGGGAGAAGCACAGGGATGATGGTGGAGGTGGTGCATCTCAGCTGGGATTGCTCACTCACGAAAAGGAGATGCACTTGCACCCTATTTACATCACTATAGTCATGTTACTTGGGGTCTCCATTGCTAGCAGCATAATTATTACCCAGGGAAGAAATGCAATTATGGGAGCCAGAGGGATAGAAGCCAGCATAAACTCCTGGCTCAGAAAGGGCAATCAGGAGTTCACACGGGATCTCTGCAGCAACAGTGTGGGTGTACCCGTGCATGTTCTGTGTGAGTGGAGTGCCATGTACAGATGTGTGTATATGTGCACATACATACCTGTGCACAGTGCATACCTGAATATGCATCAGGTGTTTGAGAAAGTGTGCAAATGGATGCCTGTGTGTGATACGTTTGTGAGGATGTGTGCATGTACCCTCGTGTGTGTGCAAGCATGTGTGTGGAAGGAGGCATACAAACTACCTGGTAGGCACTGTAGTAGGTATTTTGTACAATCATCTCTAAATCCTACAACTTCCTTGAAAGCTGTTACTCTCCCATTTTTTTTAAGATGAAGAAACTAAAGCTCAGAGGAATTACTTCCCAAGGTCAGTCAACCCCAGACCTGCCTCGGTGTGTCACAAGCACACAATTCCACAGTGATACTTCTAGTCACCAACACCAGCATTGGAGACCACAGCGACTTCATGATGTGCCATTGAATATGGGTAGAGAGAAAAAGTACTTACTGCTCATGACATCATTAAGTTTGAAGGACACAATCATAATTAAATAAAAATTGTATAAAATCACTATAATAGGAAGCAACAAAAAATGATAGGGACGCCTTGCAAAGAAACCTTTTAGCTAAAAAAAAAAAAATCACTTTATTGACAAATAAAATGAGATACTTTTAAAATCTTTTAATTAGCCACAGAAAATCAACAATACAAGAAGAACAATCCCAACCAATAACAAGCATGTGTACCTCAGCAGTCAGGAGCCTGTGTGCACACTTGTTAACTGCAGCAAAAACTCTCCTGAGTCCAGTCTCCAGCTGTGTCAACAACAATATGGTGCAGTCAGCAAACCTGTGAAATTGAAGGGAAAATCAGCAAAAGTCCACATTTACAAAATAAATATTAACACGAACATCACAGTAACTACACTGTAGTCCAGGTAAGACCAATGTGGTCTTAAAAGCAAAAAGTGTTATTACTTACTAATGAGAAACGGAATAAAAACACTCACAGCTTTGTTACATTAGTGATTTTAAAACCATTTTCTGTTGTTTCAATGTCTGGTGAATCATTTTAGTAGTTTTTGTACAACAAAATGTCACCAAAGACCTGCTTGTCACTTCTGAAAAACTACTCAAATTTCAAGATTTCAGTGGTGGTCAGGACGTAAAAATGAAAGTTATAAGGATGAGGTCATCTGAGATGGTCTCTATCTGTCCCATGTCTTGTTTCTGTATATGATTTACTACAGAGGGAATATGATGCCCAAGATTACTTTTGTTTCATGATTCTCTAAGGCCAGACTCAATGTTTCTCTTATAGTAAGAACTCAAACAATTTCAGAACTAATTCTGAAGAAGTTATGTTTACTATATCAAGAGGATGGCACCTAATGTTTCAAACACACCTATAAGCTATCTTCTAGTAATTAAATGAAGTTATTTCATGTTCGATCCACTCCAGTCAGACCCATATTTGTTCACTTCCACTGTAACAGCAAAAAAAGCATGAGCAACGAGGGCCATCGAGGCCTGGCCTTCAACTAAGAACAATTCTGCCGTGCCACCCTGGCTACCTGTGAGACTTGAACTTGACCAGCGCCATTCTCCAATATGGTAGCATGATTTTTAATACGAAGGCAGATTTTGTCATCACTTGTTCTAACACTGCAAGCACCTCATACGTAATGTCTGCAAAACAGCAAATATATTTAATGACAATCACACTAAGCAAGTGAAAAATGATGGGAAGAGTTGCTAATAAGCTGATTCTGTCGGGTAGATGAACTGGGACCCTTGCAGCAATCTACCCTCTAAAGCAGGAAGACACCTGACCTACAGTCAAGAGTGTTGTGGTCTCAGGGACCTTGCATAAAAGGAACATGGCAGCTACATTTCCTCATTGACTTAGGCAGTAACCCTAAGTAGGGTTCTGGTTGGAGCAGACAACATATCTTTAGAAGACATAGGAGACCTTTCATTCTATAAGCATTTTCGATTATGAGTGCAAATGCACAAGAATTAAAAGAAGAAAACATACATCATAAATGTCCTTAAGCCACTGTGTATGTCAACATACATGAGGAACAGATTAGCTGTTATGTTGATTGACACATCTGTAACTCTCAGAATCCTCACAAGAGTTCCAGGGTAGCTGGAAGGGATAAAGTTTAAGAGGTTCTTCAAGCAACTCACAGTCATCTTGCCACTGAAGTACTTTATTACACCTCAAGAATTCAAGTCTTAAAGGAGAATGATGGAGGGGGTGAATTTAACTAAGATACATTGTAAGCACTTTTGTAAATGTCACAATGTACCCCTACAACAACATGATTAAAAAAAAAAAGAATTTAAGTCTTGATGCTATTTACTTACTTGACTAACACCTTAAGGGGGGCAATGGGGAATGTAGTACTTGCCAGGAAAAACAATCAAATCCTCTAAGTTTGTAAGAGTTACGAAAGGTCGATGTGCCAATGTGACTTTAGTTTGCTGAAGGTAACTCTCTAGCAGCTGACCCAGTCCTGCCGTCAACAACAGCATCGTTGCACAGTATCTGAGGGAGAATACCACAGCCATCTGTTGGAAGAAGTCAGCCACACATATAAAGAGCTTTCAAACTGCTGAGCTGTAGACATTAAGCTGTGCAATGGCTGGGAGAGACAGCAATATCTAGAGAGACAGCAATATCTAAAACAACCCAGGATCTCTAATTTGCCACCACATCCTTCTGGACGCCTGAGTGCTTGTGGGGTACAAGGCCTTGAAACCACACCCTGTACCATTGGTTACTCTACCACTGATATGGAATTTGACCTTCCCTGTCTCACTCTTGTCTTTCACAAAATTAATCTTTCCCTCTTGTGAAAATCAAGGAATAGCAAACTCTTAAACACATCAAAAAAGAAAGAAAATTACTTAACTAGGAACTTACTTCGGAGGGATTTCCTGAGGTGATGCAAACCCATGCCATAAGACGTTTCTCAGGTTGAGTCCACGGGGAGAGCCAATGAAGACTTTCAGCACGTCCATCTAATCCATTAAGACAGCAGATCACCAAATGGTTGAATAATTACTGAATTGTGAGTAAATCAATACAACACTAAGACACTGTTTGCTTTCTTCCTTAAACTTAAGAAAGTCGACAGTTTTGGCCAGTATAAAGTAGTAACAGTAAGCCAACACTGATGACTGTGTCATGTGCCAAGCATATTATGCATGACTCATCTGCTCATTCACAACAACTTCTGAGGAAGGCACTGCTATTCTCCCACTGAGTAAGGACAGGAACTCAGTGGGAAAGACACCAAATTCTTTCCAGGAATGGGAGCCCACATAGGCTGCATTGCTTTAACACACATCAGAGGTACCCAGTATGTAAATAAGACAAAAGTGACAGGAAGAGGCCTGGCACTAGGCAGTGTGTGCTCGTGTGGATAGCAACCACAGCCAAGCCAGCAAGCCAAGTACAGTCCTCCACCCGCTTCCAGCCCTCTCTGTAGAGTGAACAGCACACCTGCCTCAAGACCCTACCCAAGGGCTCAGTAATTGTCTGAAGCCACAGCACTGCTCCCATGTGTTAGAGAGGCAGGAAAGAGGAAGGTGTTCAGAAATTAACAGAAAATAAAACCATACAATAAGAGAATAGTCAGGCCAAAGGAAAGAGCAAAAGCATTCTTCATTTACATGAAACACTACTGCAGAGAAGAGGAGTGAGGCATACTCTAAACTTCTCTCAGAAGCAGAACCAGGACCAGCAGTGGAATGTGCACACAGAACAGTTTCAATCCAACATAAGTGAGTTTAACACTCAGCTCAGAAGTCTTTGCTTACCAGCACTAGGATTTGAACGCAGTGCCTCCAGTTTACTAGGCAGGCATTCTATAACCTGAGTCACTCCCCAGCCCTTCTTGCTTTAGTCATTTTTTGGATAGAGTCTCGCATTTTGGCCCAGGACTGGCCTCATATGTGATCCTCTACCTACACCTCCGTCCTGTATAGTTGGGATTACAAGTATGAGATGCTATGCCTGGCCCTCTCCCACTAATTTTTAGTACTCTGGGTGTGTATTGTTTAGGCCATCAAGTATTTATGCCAATGACCAAGAAAAACCATCCAGAGGCTAAAAGTGGCCATAGGTAGGCAAATGGTTGTGCACACAAGGCAGACAGCAAAGAACAGAAAATGCGATGAAGAATTCAGTGTAACGATGAGAGGCTGCACTTTATTCCTGTACCCTGAGCTCCAGGAGGGAAAATAATGCTCAAGCTGACAAGAGCAAGGCTTCAATAAAGAGCGGGAGGGTGTCAATGAAGATGGTGGCTCATCCCCAAATAGGGAAAACAGCTGCTTGCTGGCCTGGCTGACATACAACTGCCCTGGCTTCCTCTTCAGGGAACTTGACTCACTGAGCTGTCTGGAGGTCCCCCAGTCTTCAGCCTCTTTGATCACATGCCCTCTAGGAGATTCAGGAAAAGTATTCACTCTATTTGCTTTCTTACCAATGTCTAAATTTTTTTTTTTTTTACTATAAATTTGAGTGGATGAAAAGGGCATAAATTTTGACATATTAAAAACATTGATATTTTAGAATAAAATTACAATGTCATTACTTTAAAGGTTTAAAAAATATTCTGTATGGAGTTAGCACTGCATAAATATGTAACTGATCAAAGCAGTATGTTTCAAACTGCTCCTCTGTCTGGACTCCAGAAGTTATTCTACCACATCAGACTCAGGAAAGGAAAGCCTGCTGTGTGGGTGGAAGAGGGACAGAAGAGAGGCAATTCTGAAAGGGAGAGGAAGGAGAAAGACCCTTGAATCGCTGAAATATTTCATCTTTCCCTAGGTGACATCAGTTTTGGAAGAACAAAAAAGCACTGCTAATACCAAGCACTTTGTGCTGTGTTTACTCTGTATGTTTTAGAAAGAGCTTACCGCAGAATGCCCAAAGACCTGAGAAAGCTCCTCAGACGCAAGCAGATCTCTTAAGAGAAAGGGGCATTCCTTCCCAATCAGTAAAAACACCTAAAATTCAAACAAAGTTGTACAATGCATTATAAGAGCCAATTAATGTTAGAGTTATTCATGAAGCAACTATTTGTACAAATGAGAGAAGTACTTAGAAACAAACAATTTTACAATCATTCAAAAGGAAAAATATTGAAAATCTGTACCAAATGACTGCTTTATATGAAAACTAATTCAAACCAAGAAATCTGATGATTTCACCTTCGTTCAGATAACCTAATGGACCAACAGTGAGAAGTCTCACACTCACGTCCCCTAGGGCTCGCTCCAGACACGACACCAACTTCATCACACTGAGAGAAGTAGCAGGAGAGGGCAGGTTTCCCAAGGTTCCAAATACTTCCAGAAACAACTGTTTAGAGTAAGCTACATGTTAAAAATATTTCTCGAAGTAGTAATGTAACAACACTAATTTATTCGAATTCAACCTCTACAATACGTAGCTGCTGTTTTAGTTTTTTGTGACAAACATTTTCTACTTAAGTATTACCATGCCTACACAATCAAGAAAAATATTTTAGTATCTAAGGAGGTCTTTAAAGTTTTTTTTTAAATGTTTATTGAAAGCAATAAATCTAGCATTACTATGAAAAGTCAAATATTTTGACCCACATCTTCCCACTGTGATTTAACTTAGTTCCTCATAATAAACACAAGGCAGCTCACCCTGCCACTTAGAAGAGCTGTTACAAATAGAAAAGCAATGGTCCTTATACTCTAAATTAGGAAGTTTTAGAATTAGAGTTCTTACAGGTACTGCTTTATTGTAGTCATTTGTCAAATGAAATGGAGAAAAACAAAAAAGCAAGCCAAATGAGGTTTTGGGTGGGCCCCAAAAGACCTATCCTTTCTCCAATTCACTGTTAACATACCAAGCACTCTCCTTCCTGGTTTCCTAAGACACCTCACCTCCTCTGTGAGGTGTCTTATACACTGGAGTGGATTTTTTCCTGTTCCTGGATGAGCACCTCTCTACCAAGCACCAGCCCCGACTCCTAATTCTACAAAAACCCAAAAGCTGTTCAAAGGTGCACATTCTTCTACTGGGTTCTGGACACCTGTACAACTCAGATTTCTCTTATAACCCTCAACCCTCTTGCAACCTTCTTCACACCTGGAGTACTGAAAGAGGGCTTCTAAGTGGTATTTGAAATCTTTTATATCAAAGGGGTTCAAAAGACAAACCTCCGGAAAACTTGTCCACTGGAGCCATGGAGCATACTGAATTTCAAACTGCTCCTTGGTTAGAGATAAGAAGTGCAAGTGGATAGCCTCACACACAGGGCCCAGGAGCCGCACACTTCCCCAGTAATCGAGATCTTGCCCTTAACAGATAAGAAAAGGGGCCTCAGTCATCAAAAAGTGCATTCATTTATAAAATTTCCATAAAATCAATAATCAGCTTAAAATTGAACATTTGATAAAATGTATGTCATTAGAAGTAAACTACATGACACTTATCTGATCATAAAAGGAGGAGACACTGTTGGCACACCTTGTAAAACCAGGAAGATGCACACAGGAGAAGAATGCTTAAAATGTCATTACCCTCATGTAAGTTTACAAGAACTGACACGCATACCGAAGAACACAGCAGTCCCCCTTATTTGTAGCTTCAGCTACCCATGGTCAATATAGTACAAAAACACTTTGTGGAAGATTCCAGATATAAACAAGTCACGTTTTAAATTGGGCATTGTTCTCAGTAGCAGAAAATTTCATACTGTCCCACTCCATCTTGTCCCAGACACGAGTCACCCCTTTATCTAGAGCCTCCACACTGCCTATCCTTTATTCACTTTGTAGCCATCTCGATTATCAGACCAACTTCAGTATCACACCACTGTGTTCAAGTAGCTCTTATTTACTGATGGCCCCACAGTGCAAGACTGGTGATGCAAAACAGGCATAAAATAAGTAAGGAGAAATTAGGTTCTGGTACTGTGTGGCCACTCAGGCATATAGGAAAAACACAGCGTTATGTGTAGGGCTCAGTATAATACATAGTTTTAGGCATCCACTGAAGACTCTGGACCACATCCCCTGAGGACAAGAGGGGTTACTATATATGATATTGTAAACTGACTTTTTTTTTTAACATTATTAGACTGGGAGATTTCTAATGACAAATATGTTCTAAGAACTTATTCATAATATGGGTTTTATTTTTATGCTTTAAGTATGGGGTTGAACATCCACATAGGCCATAATCAAAAAACACAAAATGGTGAAAGTCTCCCAGTTACCTACCCCCTTGCTATTGTAACTATTACAACTAATCTCCAGAGTACACATACAAATATTTATACACATACATTTTTTCCTTCTATTTTTTTTTCATTTAGCTCAGACAGAATTTTGCACCAGCAGAGCCTCTTCATTCCTTTTTATCACTGCATAATATAACCCTGTATGCATTTATCCTACCTTACTGAACTAATCCCAGACTGCTTAACTTCTGGCTCTTCCCAGATTGTTGGCTTAGTTATTTAGCTATGACAGGCAATGCTGCAGAGTAACCTTGCACACACACCTTCATATCTATGAAAGCAACAGTCATGTAAGTTTCTGGAAATGGAATTGCTGGGGCAGAGTATGCTCATTTGCAATTTTCTAACTATTACTAAATTTCTCAACCCATATTCCTCTTCAAAAAAAATGAGCCAGTGTGCCTAGAAGACATTTAAAACGATTGCATAATCTGCCACTAGTCATATCATTAATTCACATGACTTTCTACACCAAATTGTCTTGGTGACCTAAGATCTATGTCAACAGCCCACAGCCCAGCCTGCCTCCTGACCCTCCTGCTCATGGGAGGGTTTCTAAACCCAGCATCCCTTGTCTTTCCTACTCCTCTCTGGCCTCATCCTCTTTTCAGCTGATTCCTTTTCTCCTTTGAATTGGGCCTATATCATAACTAAAAAAAGCAATGGGTAAAGGAGGGGATTTTACAGGTAAAGGCATTTTTCAATGAAACAGTGCTCACTGAAATTTGGGGTACCAAGACAGTACTTACCTGATTCTTCATATCTCACACAGCCTGTGATTGTTTTCCAGCATACTTCACCATTCTGAGTTACAATGCTACTGAGATCACAATTTTCTCTGACTTCAAACCCAAGTTTACAAATCATGTCATACACTGAAGGAGAAAGACATGTAGTAATGGGATCCCCTATTAAAATCTGAAATATAAAACGTAATGGACACTGTTTAACAGGAAAGAAGACTATTAGTTACTCTATATTTAAATCACGAGAAAATTATACCTCCAATACAGAATGTACTAAAGTGGGCTGGAAGCGTGGCTGAAGTGGTAGAGGGCACGTCTAACAAGAGTGAAGCCGAGTTCAAACCCCAGTACCGATAAATAAATTATATGGAATGCACTAAAGCATGGCTATTGCTACCGCGCTTTCTAGGTCACATAACAGCTGTATGGGTAAAACACTGATTTAATGTTAAAGGTCCTTTCTGTGCTTAAAAGTAACTTAAAAGGCTTTATTGCTCATATTTGTCAATAGAGGAGTTCGCAGCGGCTTGATAAGCCTTTATTATTCCCGGACTACAAAAACAAACACTTGTTTACGTTAAGCACCGAACAGCCTAACCCAAGACCCTCGCGACAGCCCTGGCCAATCCTCGGCGGGTTCACGGACCGATGGGCTCCTCCGCCCCGAGCTGAACTCCCTCCCCAACGTTCTCACCCCTCGCATGGTAGGGACGACTCCGAGTCGGCTCCCCAGCCGCTGCCTAAAGATCCCACTCGCGACCGGCGCGAGTGCGCGCGTCCGATGGGGGCCGCGCCCTCCACTGCCACTGGGCCACTACGCCGTCCGCCCTGGGCCGCCGCACGAGGACTGTCGGGGGGGGGGGGGCACCGGGGCTACCGCGAGACGCCGGTGTCTGAGGGGACGAACGTGGACCGGCCGCGAGCCCCTCATCCCTGCGGGGCCGCAGCGGTCACCACAGCGCGGCTCAGTACGATGCACACAGCCTCGCGACCCGAGGCCGCTCCACGGGGCTGAAGCAGGACTACAAGCCGCCTCGCCTACCTCCATAGCTTCCGGCTCTTGACCACGGCACGTACTGATGACGCACACCGACCGCGCCTTGCCGTCGGGCCTCCCCGCCGCGCACGCTAAACGCATCACTTCCGGCCACGCGGCGGAAGCACGCTCTTGCGCGAGGCGTCTGAAGCGTTTGGCAACCCGAGGAAAGTGGGGTCGTGGTGTTGAGGACAGCCGAGCAGAGCCAGATGGAGAAGCGAGGCAGAGGCGCAAAGCCGTCCACGAACCAGTCCCCGGCGCCGCCGTCGGCGCCGTCCACGCCTCGGAAAGACAGAAGGCCTAGCATGTTCGAGAAGGAGTCAGTGAGTGCGAGCCTGCGAGGGCCCCACAGGCTGCCCAGACCCCAAGTCGCCCCCCGTCGCCCAGCACCCCAGAGCCAAGGAAGAAAGGCTTGCCTTTCCCTTTTCCCGTTTCCTCCACGTACGAAACTGAACACAACACCCTTGACTTGGGTGCTGAGGGCTTTTTAGTTAAGTTTATGGAACCCTGTGTTAACTGGTAGAAAGTTTTTGCAAGATATTCAGTTCTTCTCAAATTACTCAGCTTGCATTTTTCCGAAGAGTAATCAAATACTGTAACTTTTTTTTTCTACACACGACACAGTGTATGCACATCTTTGTGTGTGTGTACATACATATGTATCATATGCATCTGTATTTATATATATATGAAAATCTAACATGCCAAGCAAAACAATGAAATGTTTTGAGTTTTCAAAAGTATCAGCAATCTTGGCATTTGAAGAATATAGGAAAAAGTTAAATACTCTGTTGATTTGTCTGATATTAATGGAAAAGGCATTCAGTTTTGGTGATGGTAGACTGCCAGTATTTTTATATAATCACATTTTGGAAACCATTAATGTAATCAAGACTCAGTCTTTTATTGAGACTTTTAGAGAAAAATAATTATCCAAAGGTACAAAGTTGTCGAAGACCTCAGAGTAGAACCTGCGTTGTGGGACTTGTGATCCACTAATCTGTAGTTGTTTCTCTTCGTACCTACTTTATAGGACCCATGATCGATTAGTAGAATGAAACCAGGAATGACAGGCAGGCACAAAATTTTGAACACAGTAAAATATTTCAAGGTCATTCCCAAGTAACTAAAAGAGAATTCTGAAGAAAAAAGAAAGAAACAGAAAAATAGGCAACATTACAGGTTCTAATGTCTCTTTTATAGTTAACAGAATAATCCATTAGAAGAAAAGTAAATGGGCCAAGTTTACACAGCTAGGAAAAAGCAGAATGTGCTACAAACCTAACTTAACCTCGTGACTAGATGTTCCCAAACACTGTGCTGTGTTAAAGTCTGAGTAACAGTTCACTAGCAGTAAAGAGAAACTTCTGTTCTCTGATTCTGACAAGGTTGACTTCTATAAATTTACTGCCTACTAAATGTCTGAAGTGATCTTGGAAATCGAATGAGCCTTGTCAAAATGAGGCATGTAGGCTAAAATCTGAGACTGAAGAGACATAGACCAAAAAAAGCTTATTTGATATGGATGTGATCATCATATCTGTCTTTAAAATCTAGGCTTCCAGAGGTAAGAAATTTGAATTGGCCAGTTATTGAGAAACTAAAAAATAATCCCATAAATACTCACTAAATAAACCTGTGGACACTGAATACACTGAGTTATTTGTAACTTTCAAGTAGTTGATAATTTCCGTATTTGTTTTTATGGGACTGGGGTTTGAACTCAGTGCTTCATGCTTGCACAGAAGGTACTCTACTGCTTCAGCCTGTCTTTAGTTGAGAAAGTTGGGAGTATGGGTAAGTCAATATATCACGACACTGTAAAGTAGAGTATAGGAAAGGACAGGGCTGCCCAAGCAGTTGCAGGATGTGCAGCAGGTTTCACTTGAGTCTCCACCTTAGCCCATCAATGCACCTGGCAAGGAAACTACAAAGGTTAGAGAGAGAGAGAGAGGAAGGAAAAAAAAAAAAAAAACACCTAGAAGGAGAAAATAAATTCTTAGACTTCCAGATAATTTTTGCTTTCACCAATAAAAGAGGAAAACCATGATAATCATAAGGCTTTCTTCTTAGTATATAGGTAGAAGTGTCAAGAAGTGTAATGCTTAAGCTAAAGAAAAGGTAGAGAAAAAAACATGTAGAAACCTCTGGTGTGGCATGTCAAAGCTTAAAAGCAAAGCTGGGAAGGCTTAAATTCTAAATCACTACATCTTAGAGGAAAGATCAAGAATGTTTTTGGGAATACAAAAATATGCAGCATATAAGTCAGTAAAATACAGTTTCTGGGTTCTAATTAAACATTGGCAGACCTATAAAAAAAACAGGAATATACAACCCAAAATTAAAAGAAAATAAAAACAGGCCCAGAAATGACACAAAGGTAATATGAAAGCTCACCAAAGTAGTGTGATAAAGTTTATTATAATAATTTTCAAAATTTAAAGCAGTTACATAATATGTTATAAATCGATTGTATCCCACATATTTAAAAATGTAAAGAAAGATTGAATCACATGTCTATAGATGAAAACAACGTCCAAGATGGTATGTACTAAATGGAGTTGATAGCAGATTCAACACAGCAGAAGAATTAGGAAACTTCAGAAAAGTAGAAAAAAAAATCCTGAAAGAATATTAGCGGCATTCCTGTAGCTTCAGGTGGTTTAATAATATTCTGATTTGAGTCCCCAAAAAAGAGAGGACATGGTGGGTCAGATAAAGAATATTTGAAGAAATAATAGATGAGAAATTTACAAATATGAAACTATAAACCAAAGAAAATTGAGTTTTGAGCAGAAGAAACATGAAGACAATTATGCAAAGACTTACTTGAAATAATTATGTTAAAAATTTAAAGGTAACTAACTAGAAAAGAGAAAGCAAATAGTAGGCTTCTTATCAGAAACAATGTAAGTCAGGAAGCATTGCAGCATCAATCATCTTTACTGAACTAAACTAACAAAACCTAGAATTCTATACCTCACTAAAACTAATCTTTCAAAAACAAAGGTAAAAATTCCCATTTCTAGTTCTTGTTGTAAGGAAGTTGAAGTCACTACTCCATCCTAACAAGTAAAATGCTAAACTGAAAAGATCTTCTAAGATCCTTAAGTAAGATCAGAGAGCAGGTTGCTATTCCCTAGTGACCTATACAGAAGAGTCACAATGTACCAGAGCAGAAACTACAACCCCAAACCAGGATATTAGAACCTAAAATATAGTTGATGAATAGCTAGAGGTTAGGTGTTTTGAATTCTTAAGAGTTAAAAACCCCACAGGGACTCAGTCATAGGATGCCACTCCCCAGCTTTTCTAAGTTTTACCTCCAGTAATTGAAACAGGTTCCCACAATAAATATTACAGAAAATCCCTTTAGACTTGTGGCAAGGAGTGTGGGGGGATGCATTTTGTAATTAATCAGAGCACTCTGTTCTTAACAAGATCTGCCTTTAGGGGAAATTAGCCAGAGTCTATCTGACAAAATAACATACAAGAACCATGAACAATGTAAGATGAAATCCTGAAAAAGAACCAAAAAATGTTAAACTGATAATGAAGAATGCCTTTAATAGGCCTCTTACTAGGCCGGACACAAGTGAGAAAGGAATCTGATCTTGAGTATATATCAATAGAAACATCCAAAATGAAAAGAAGAACAAATACTGAAAAGGAAGAGGAGAATACCCAGGAGCTGTGGAACAGCCTCAAAAGATGAAAATTACCCATAATGGGAGTGAATAGCAGAGAAAATGGAACAGAAGGAGTATTTAAATACTTTTGAGAAGAATTAATTTAGAATGTAACACATATGTACAGGAACGCAATGTGAGTAAACTCCCTGTATAGCTGTCCTTATCTCAACTAGCAAAAACCCTTCATCTTTCCTATTACTGCATATACTCTCTCTTCAACAAAATTAGAGATAAGGGCAAAATAGTTTCTGCCTGGTAGCGAGGGGGCGGGGAAAAGGAGTTATAAGTGACCCAAACATTGTATTTACATATGAATTAAATAAATAAATAAATACTTAACAACAGAGAATAATATTAGATACCATGTCATAGATCTAGGGAGATGAGAGAACACACAGCAGGAAAAAAATGCCAAAACAAAAAAAAAACTATGCCTATTCATATAATTTCAAAGTACAAAAATTAAAGATGCAGAAAAATCCAAAAAGAAACCAGGGCAAAAACACTTTACCTATAGAGGAGAAAATGATTCTACCCACCGTCTCAGAAACAATGCAATAAAAAATAGAGTGGCCTGAAAATATTCAGAGGAAAAAAACACTACCAACCTAAAATTCCCTTTTTCTTTTCTTTTTTCTTTATTTTTTCAATTTTCTTTAAAATTCTGTACCCTCCAAAATAACCCTCAAATGTGAAAGAAAAATGACTTTTTCAGAAAAAATAAAAATTAGTGGAACCTATTGCCAGTAAACCTGCCTTGCAGGGAAATAATGTAGTCAGAAATTTGCATCTGCATAAAGAAAGGAAGAACATCAAAGAATAAGCAAATTGATGTAGTAGGTAATGGTTCAAAATAAGGATGATACATGTGATTGTATGTGCTTATGAATACATGTTAAGTGTGCATACTTGCTTATGTGTGCTTTATACATAAGTGAGGTGAATGACAACAATGATTAAAGGGATGGGAGGAGGAATTAGAATTATTTTTGTGACAAATTATCCTATCCATGAAACATTGTAATGTTAGTTGAAAGTGGGTTTGGATTAGTTGTAAATGCGTATTTTCAAACTCCAGGGTGACCACCAAAAAGAAATAGAAGTACAACTGATATTCTAAGAATGTAGAGAAATGGAATCATAATAAATCCTCAATTAAAACCACGATAGGGTGGTCACTTAGGCATCACATATACTAAAATGGGAATGATACAGAGATTAGCATGGTCCCTGCACAAGAATGAAACAATTCGTGAAGCATTCCATATTTAAAAAACCATAATCAGCAGAAAAGAATAGCAAATGAAAGTAGGAACAAAGGACAAGGGCAGCAAATAAGGAAGAATAACAAATAGCAGGCATCATTATAACTTGTATCGGTAATCACTTTGAATCTTCAGTCTAAATGCAGCAATCAAGCTGGATGTGGTGGTGTATTCGGTAATCCCACTTACTGGGAGTCTAAGACAGCTAGATTGCAATTTCAAGGCCAGCCAGCCAGCCTGGGAAATGTAGAAAAACCTTGTCTCAATATATAAAATAAGAGCTGGAGATTTTAGTTCAGTGATAGAGTGCTTGCCTAGTATGTGCAAAACCTTGAGTTCATCCCTAATACCAGTAAATTAATAAATAAATTTTAAGAAAGATAGCAATTGTCAGAGCAGATTAAGAATAAGACTCAACTATGTTCTCTACAATAAACCCACCTTAAAAATAAAAATGAATTAAATGGATGGAGAAAGGTATGCCATGCTAAATTTCAAACAAAGCAAACTTCAAAGCTATTAGGGATAAAGAGAGGCATTACATATGGTAAGGGGACCAGTTCTTCAAGAAGACATAGCATTTTTTAACAGGTATCTGACTAACAACACTACATTAAAATACAAGAGGCAAAAATTGATAGAATTTAAAGAAGTACATAGTGACAAATGTCTGTACACCTCTACCAAAAAATGGCCAGGGCTGGGGTGTGGCTCAGTGGTAAAGCACTAAGATGGTGAAGCCCTGGGTTTCATCCCTAGCACTACAAAGGAAAAAAAGGACAAATTCATCAGGCAGAAAATAAAAGACATATTTGTACTCAACACCACCATCAATCAATTGAATGTAATTGGCATTTATAGACTACTTTGTTCAACAACAGTTTTGTCATTCTTCTCAAGCTCACAGAGAATATTAAAAAAAAACTCGTTTTAGACATAAAACACCTTAAAATTCTTTTTAATAGAAGTCAGAACAATTATCTCAGATCACAGTGGAATTAAATTAGAAATTAATAATAGAAACTCACCTTGAAAATGTCCATTTCTCAAGAGCACGTGAGCCAAAGAAGTGTCAAGAAGTTAAAAAATATTTTGAGGCAAATGACAATCAAAAATTTTTAAAGACTGGGGACTGGCAAATGTGTTAGAGTGCTTGCCAAACAAGTATGAGGCCCTGCAAAAAGAAGATAAATGAAATCCGAAATAATAGAAAATTATAGAAGAACGGATGAAATTGAAAACAAGAAATAGACAAAACCAAAAGCTGTTTCTATGGGAAAAGTCAATAAAATTGATGAGCATCTAAGCCGGTTTACCAGGAAAAAAAGAGAGGACATAAATGGTGAATATCAGAAATGCAAAAGCAGATGTCACTACAGATACCTTATGAATATCAAAAGTGATTTAAAAGTATTATAAACAACTGTGTGTCCACAGATTTGATATCCTAGATGCATTAGAACAATTCCTTGAAAGACAGTCTGCCAGAACTCACACAGAAAGAAAGCTAGAATCTTGAGAGGCCTCTTGTCTATTTTTAATTGAATAATTGAGCCAATAGTAAGCTTTCAAAACAGGAAGCACCAGAAGCAGATGCGTTCATTGGTGAATTTTACAAAATGTTTAAGTAGGAGTTTATACCAATTTTCTACACTACTTTTCAGAAGATAGAAGCAAAGGGAGTACTTTCTCATTTTATGAGGTCAGCATTACTATGCTATGAAAACCAAAGACACTGCAAGAAAAAAACTATAAACCAATATCCCTTATGGCTATTGATTCAGTAATCCTCAACAAAATGCTAACATTCAGTATTATATACAAAGGATTATATACTACAGCCAAGTAGGATTTATTCCTGGAATGCATGGATACAGGTGGATGTATGAACATCAACCTGTGTAATATACTAGATAAACAAGGTGAAACAGTGAGCTACTTAATTATCTCTATTGATGAAGAAAAATCATTTGACAAAATTCATCCTTCCCATAACAAAAACATTAAACAAACCAGGAATAGAAACTACCACACTATAATAAAAGTCATATGAAAAGCCCACAGCAATCATTAAATGTTGAAAGACTGAAATTTTTTTCTCTTAATATGTAAAACAAGGCTAGAATGTATTAAGCTTTAAAACAATATTTCCTTAATGCATGTTGGGTATCACACAATGAATATTCCAAGCCCAAAGCATGGACTGATAGCAGGGAATGTGTGTGGGTGTGCACGTACATGCATGTGTATGCATGTATACACCAAGTCAATACACTTGTTATTTTATTCAACTTAAGAATGTGTTGCCTAAACGTGTTTTCTTAACTTCAGGGTAGGGAACATGAGAGGTTGTCCTTACATGTATATCCCATAGCCACTCAGTTGCCCTCTCTGGAGGCCACTCATGTTTCAGGTTCTTGTGGATCTTCTATATATATTCTGAATAGATGCACACAAATTTGTATATATATGTCTGATAGGTCCTTTTCCTTCTTTACCAAGTTGATAGTTCGGAGTAAGTCTAGGGTTTAATGACTACATTTTCATGTAAGTCTGTTGTAACAGGTTTACAAGGTTTGTGTCAGCTCTGCTCTCCCGTATCGAGTCTCAAATGTGCAGTTGCACTTTACAGTTTAAAATTGAGTGTCTCCTTCAGTACGCACAGATCTTAAGAGAAAGACTGAGAGAGTCTGTTCACGACATTCAGTATGTGGACCTCCATTTGATGACTCAATTGCCGAAATGGGCAAAGAGTGGAAGAGCGCCCTGGCAAAACTGAAGTTCGCTAATTCGTACAGAATGGAGCCACTGAAGAAATTCCAAGCTAATTCAGTAGAAGCTAAAGTCCAACAGATACTAAAGGTAGGTTGTGGGCTGGGAGTGTAGCTCAGTGACAGAGTGACGGTTGCCTACCATTTGGAAGGCCCTGCTCAAACAGAACCAATAGATTGTATATCATAGACATATTGCATGTCATATGTATGAAGAAATGACAGGAATTGGTCCATGCAATTATAGAAGTCAAAATGTCCTACAGTCTATTTTGTGTAAGCTATAGAACCAGGAAAACTGGTGGTATAATTCAGTCAGAATCCAAAGGCCTAAGAACCCAGGGGGCTGATGGTGTAAGTCCAGGTGCAAGTCTACATGTCTAAGAACCTCAACACTCATGTCTAAGCACAGGAGAAGACAGATGTCCCACCTCAGAAAAAAATGTACTCTTCCTCTCCCCTTGCATCCTATTCAGGCCCTCAGACTGCATCATATCCACTCACCTTGGTGAGGGTGATCTTTACTCAGTCTATTGATTCATATGTTTGCTAATCTCTTCTGGAAACACCTTCACATACACAACCAGACATGCCATTTTACCAAGCATTGCCCCTTATCCCAGTCAAACCAATTATCACAAGTCTCACTCCTTGTCAGATGACCACACATCCAATTCTCCTTAAAACAAGCAATGTCCAAGTAAAGGCAATAACAAGGTCAAGATTCTACTTAGTAGGATAACATTAATGTGCATACAAGTGAGTAGTGTACTAATCCCTTCCCCAAAAGAAGAGGCAAAGTCCTTGAGTGATGGTTACTCTTTTGAGTTAACTATAGTTACTTCATACTAACTTAAAATACTATGATGTAAAATTAGCAATACTTTAATACTGATAAAAAGTTGGTAGTTTTATGTTAAATGATAACGATAGGAAAGAAATACATTCACTTATTGTATGTTTGTGTTCACATATATATTCAGATAAGAAGGAAATATTCATGGCAACTCCTATATGGTTATATGATTGTAGCTGGTATTTTTTAAAACTACCTTCTACTCTTTGCCTTCAGCAGGTTCTTTACCTGGCCAGGATTCTTTACCTGCTGAGTGACCTAAACTTTCATTCCTCAAGAGTCTGAGCCATTCATAGTTCTGTCCAAACTGAATTATTGTAGTTTTCCATCAACCTTAATTACAGGACATGGTAATGCTAAGAGACAGACTGAAAGATCTTCTGTATTCCGGACATATGCTTTGTTACTCCATTGTAGAGTGGTAATCCAATTTTCCTTTGATAGTTAGGACCAGTCTCCTTGGTCAATAAAACAACTTCCTTCCTTGCCTGCTGGTTCAGAGATATGAAGAGCTCAAAGTGTCCAGGTCACAGTCATATCTTCTAATTCAATGGAACCATTTTATATCTCCCAGTGAAAACATTCCTCCCTCTGAAACTAAAACTTCCAGACAAGTACAACATAATGTGGGTGCAGAAAGCAAAAATTTTTGTAGTGGGTCTTATAACACCCAGTTTATGATGGGCAAGTTGCTTGGTAACTTCATGGCCCACAGTCAAGCATTAAGTCTCTACAAAGGTCTAGCAGCAGGCCAAGAACCATATCTTGAAAATAGGTGTAGTTAACTGCAGATGTTAGTAAGGTCTTGTTCCAAAATCCATAAGGCTTTGCTACAATTCTCCTTCAGGGGCCTCCCAAAGGCTCCAAACACCATCCCGTCCTGCCACTACACTTCAAGCATCACTGGTCTTCTGGATCATATGGCCTAAGCAGCAGAGTATCTTGCAGAAGCCTGGACCTATTGAAGAGCCTTAATTTTGTCTGGGCTGCATTAAAAAAAAAAACATTTAAATGCGTGCAGAGGCCAGGACCCTGGGAGCACCCTGAAGGAGTGGGCAGCCAAGCGTGGAGGAGGCCGGTTCCTGGCTGGAGCTGCAGAGCTGCGGGTTGATGGCCTGGGTAGCGAAGAGATGGCTGAGAGTGTCAAAACCTTTCTCCAGAACCTTGGCAGAGGAATCAGACTCTGGGGTATTTGTACCATTTCAAAGGTAGATGCTCAAATCCAGCCAAAGAGAGAGGAACAGCGTTGAAGGGCAAGTAAGTGTCCTGGCACAGTGGAGAGCCCAGAATATACAGCAGAAACAGAATGAGCCCAGTATTAGTAGTAAAATTTTCCAGTGCTGTTCTTGGGATGGTTCAGTCTTGCAGGAGACGGATGAGGTATAATCCTGTGCTTCAGTCAGTAACAGCCCAATTACTGTTGATCCATCACCACATGGAGATGTTTGGTCGTGGCCAGAATTCTCCTCACATCACTTTTCAGCGTTCTGTGGTGTGCCCCTTGTTTATGCTTAGCAAAGTTGTGAATGCCATTCAGTTTCAAGGTACAGCAGACCTGGCATTTGAGTTGTCAGGGAGGAAGCTCATCCATTCCCTAGTGACAGCAAAATGATTGCTGACATGTTCTTCAGTCTTTGCTACAGGCTCTTTTTCTTGCCCAGAGGATGTTTGTGAATCTCTTTCCCACCCATCTTGTTTGTCAGCTGCTTACTTTGCTGTGTATGTTCTTCTCTACTCACTGTACTGCTCTGAATATCATTGCTTCAGTAAAGGGATTGAAATGCACCAGCAGTTGTCAAACAGAAAGGAACTGGCCTTACCACTTTGGGTTTGGTTTGCCTTTGCTTTCCTCACAGCAGTGCAATCCTCATACATTATCAGTGGCTGCCTCTTCTCTATTCTCTTTCATTTATTCATGAATGGCACTAATGAAGCAAAGACTCCTAGAAAAGCAAACCTTATCCAGTTGCGCCTCTTCTTAAGGTTTTCCTAAGCAATAGACTTTCCACAAGACTGTTTACCTGCAGTCTGCGCTGAGCAGCTCCACCTCTGCAGAGAAGTTCTCATCACCATATCCATCTCCTGTGAAACTGAAGGCTACTGCAGGCCACAGAGTCACCTGCTCTCCAGAGGGGATGGGTGGGATTGGATGGAGGCTGTGCCAGCTCTTTTCTCTGTTCCTCTCCCCTTGCCAGGAAAGGCAGAACTCACTTTGCCAAGAACCCTCTGCATTTTCTCTTCACTTTGAGGAACTGGGATTTTTGTTTCTGGTAATGCAGAATTTTCTTGACATTAGTATGTAGATTTTTACTACCACCATGAGTCTCAAAGGACCACAGGTTTTTCTGCAGCTATTTTCTAGCATTTGCCAGCCCCTGTGCATGGATCAATTTAAAAATTTTGTTTTTCTCTCTGTGCCATTTACCCTCCTATCTCTTTTTCCTGCCTTCTAGCATCTTTGGATGAATGGATTTTGTAATTCTAGCTGTTGTATTTTGTGGATTTCTTGTTTTTGTTGTTTTTCTGTGAAGCACATACATAGGATGTGGGAGGTAGAGGTGTTATCTCATTTGCTTCTCAACACTCCCTTTGTAACCATCATGTTATGTTTCTTATAACTCAGGTTAGGTTTTGATCTCTCTTACTCTACTTCAAAAGAGAAGAGAAAAAGAGCCTGAAGAGATGAGTCAGAAGGAAAGACCTTACAGCCAGATCAGCTGGTATTAAGGAGTAATTTTCTTTCTCCCCTTTGAAGAGAATAAAGATTTTTTTCATTGGTACATTTAGTTTCCCAACAATGGAGAGGTACCAATTCTGGACAAGTGCCACTGTAATACAAAATGCTCAGAAAACCTGAACTTTTCAACTATGGAAGATGGAAATTTACTGTTGGCCACTGCCAGATCTGACTGGTATTTCAAAGGAATACTGGGTGCTGCAAAGAGGAACTGAAGGGGTAAACTTACTTAAATCCATTAAACCTGTGATTGGTGATGATTTCATGTCATTTTAAGAGGAATGTGGAGGGCAGATAACAAAAACGTGTACAATTTTAAAATGTCACAAATAAACGAGCTGATTTCCCATTAAGAAAAAAAAAAAAACTAGAAACTTTTTGTGTCGTTTGGTAAATAGGTCAGAGTAACACACACGAATGAGGAATCTGTTACCTTCAAAATCCAAAGAGGCCTACTAGGCATTGTGCTCCTTTCTTAGTTGTAGTGTTACTGGAAAGCCAGTTCCTGTGTCAATGTCAATTCACAGATAATAAGAGTAAGGTTTTTGAAGAAAGGAAGAAGGTTTATTATTCATCAGATGAAGCTCTGTCACTGTACCCCCTTCTGAGAGAAAATGTCTCCTTATTAAAGAGGAGTTCAGGGACTCAGTTTAAGCATGTGAGGAAATGCATGGGTACTGGCCTTGGTTCTCCTGGTGCCTAGTGTAACATCTCTGAAGCTGTTATGTCTTGGCTGACAGGTTTACTTCTCTGGTGGTCAGAGAGAGAGAGAAGGGATAGAAGACTGCCTGGTTTACTTGAAGAGTAAAGGGTGTTAACCCTGGGGTCTCCAGTATACAGACAAAAAAGGAAAAAAATGTCAGCTTGATTAACAAGCAGATTAAACTGTCCAGTATGTGAGCTGGCTCCAGCAAAAGTTTTTCCCTTTTGTCATCCTGGTTACAATAGGAGAGGCAGCAACTTACCGTTAACCTTAGAAAGAATATCTGTTTCAAATGTTTCAGACCACTGGGTGTCTACACGCCTCAGAGGTAGAAAGCCTCTAAGTTTTAGTTGAATTTATCTCCACCATCTGACACACAAGTATGTTCCTTAATAATTCTAGAGTAATCGCTACAAAATGCTCACTAGGTGCAATCAGCATAATGCCATCAGTGTAACAGACCAATGTGATATCTTGTGGAAGGGAAAGATAAGATCTCTGTAAACTAAATTCTGACATGGGGCTGGATAGTTGATGTGCCCCTGAGGTAGGAAAGGGAAAATGTACTGCCGCCTTTTCCAGCCAAAAGCAAACTGCTTTTGCTGTGTTTGTGGATAGGTATAGAGAAAAAGGCAACTGTCATATCAGTAGCTGTGTAACAGACACAAGAAGTTGCTGATTTGCTCAAGCAGTAAAACTACATCTGGTACAGCACCTAAATCTGGTACAGCAAGCTAAAATTTTTGGGGGTGAAGTGTCCATAATACAACCTTTTTTCAGATGGTACACTAAAAA